CGTAGTAGAGCAGGTTTTCTCAATCCTTCCGGGTTTCCTAAACCCACTGATGAACAGGAATTGGCGGCATGGAAAGCTAATAATTCCATAATTTGTTCTTGGATCTGTAACAGTGTTGATGAACACATCCAACCTTCCATTATCTCCCATAAAATTGCTCATGAATTATGGTTAGATCTGAAGACCAGATATGGAGGTTCCAATGGACCTCGTGATCACCAATTGAAATCTGAGTTTCAATCTTTGCGTCAAAAGGGACAAACTGTGGTTGCCTACTATAACCAATTTGTGACTTTATGGAACAAGCTATATGTATCTGTTGATCCAACGTGTGGTTGCCGGTGTGAGGCTGCGGCTTTGATTCGGGCGCGCGAGGAACAGGAGAAGACTCATCATTTTTTGCTCGGGCTCGACGACGAACAGTTCGGTCACATCCGATCTCAGATTATTGCCACTGAACCTGTTCCGGACATACACCGGGCTTATGCACTCATCGTTCAAGAAGAACGGCATAAGAGCATTGTCTGTGGCCGAGATGACCGTACGGACGCTCTCGCCTTTGCCATGCAGCGTCCCGCTCCTACCTTGGGTCGTGGAGACCCCCCCATTATTCGTGCACACATTGTGGAAAAGACAGCCATTCCGTGGATCGGTGCTATCAATTGCATGGGTATCCGCCCGGGAAGGGCCGTGGAGGTCGCGGCACTGCATCCGGCAGAGGGAGTCGCGGCGGTGGCAGAACGCCGTCCGGCGGCAGTAGCGCCCCTGGCCGTGGGTCTGGCCGAGGGATAGGATGGGCGATAGGGGGAGCAAATGCAGCCACCAATTCCAACGCCCTAGGCCTCACACCTGATCAGATGACTTGGTTACTTTCCATGCTCGACGTCTCTTCTTCCGACAAGGATACTGGGTCTAATGGTGAGGCATCGGCTCGTGAGTGGCTTATTGACAATGGCGCCTCTCATCACATGACTGGTAATATCTCTTTTTTAACTGATGTGGTTCCCATGGCCCCCTGTGTCATCACGTTGCCGAATGGCACACAGACTACAGCCACTCGATGTGGCCGTGTGCGGCTCTCACCCGAAGTAGTGCTTCGGGGCGTTTTGCTTGTTCCTCATCTGCAGTGCAATCTTATTTCTGTTGGTTGTCTTATTCGAGATACCTCTTGTCTTGTTATTTTTAACAAAAACTGTTGTGTCATACAGGATTGTGTCACGAAGATGGAGATTGGACGGGGT